ATCCTGTTGTTGGAATCTAAGGAGGAGCCTGAGTCATTGACCTAGGTCTCTTGTTCTACTGAAGAGGTGCAATAGGTGCTAGTCTGTGGTGTGAAACCGAGGGCCTGAGGTTCCCTACTTCTGGAGAAAAAATACGAAGGTTCCTTTCTATTAGCTGTGTTTTGGCCAGAACGGCCGAGTAAGTACTGAGCTCGAACACATACAACTGCTATCTAATATGAGGACGGAGACCCCACTTGAACTTTTTTGCCTTTCTGCCTTCATCCATCATGCTCTCAAAAGAATACCAGTCCAACACTAGAATTTTTTGGGCATATTCTGATACAATCATGTCACCCTTGACCAAGTGTGCAAACTCCATTTTCTTTAGATGTCAGAGATACTCTTGGAGGTACTTTGCATTGAAGGCCATCAAGAATTGTTCCCAAGTTATTGGGACGGGTAGGGTGGCCTGCTTGAGTTGCCACAAGCGACCTGCCTCTCCCACCAGCATGTAGGTGGCAAGTATGCTTCTCTGTTCGGGAATCACCACAAGAGTCGTGCAGGCCTTCTCTGTCTCAGCTAACTAGTGTTCGGCATCTTGAAAAGAGGATACCCCTGCAAAAGTAGATGAGTTTAGTTTTTTATACCTTTCAATGTAGTTTGGGTCCATTATGGGAGGAATTGGGTCCCGTGGAAGAGGAACTGGAATATGCTGGAGATGGACCGGATGGCCATATGGTGGTACTTGATGATATGGTAGAGGCACCGGATTGTACTGTGGTGGTGCTGGGTAATACGGTTGGGGCACCGGGCTATACTGTGATAATGCCGGGTGATGCGGTTGGGGCACCAGACTATATTGTGGTAGTGCCAGATGGTATTGTGGAGGAGCAAGGTTGTACCGGGGTGGCTCAGGATCTTCCCGTTGCAGGGGTGGCTCAACCTGTGGTAGCAGGAGAGGGTCAGGTAGCTCCCTCATTTCCTCTCGGGCCTACTGAGCAGAGATGAGTCCTTCTAATATTTCAAATAATCGGTCAACATCATCTCAAAGCGAACCCTCCCGGGCTGCTCGATTTAGTGGGGGTCTTCCTCTCCTCATCTATTTTTACCAATATTTCACAAGGAATGGTTGAGTGAAATTTATTTTTTGGTGTTTGCTAGGGTTTTTGTGTAAGAAATGGTTCCGAGGAATGCGGTTCTGATACCAAACTATAATGACTTGGAACTTAAAAGAAAATAAATTATAAATTGAATGCGGAAGCGAAATAATAAAGTTAGGTTTGCATTCCTTACAAAATAATTTAGAATACCCAATAGAGATACGAGAATGACCATTCGAAAAGAATAAACGAAAAATTAAAGAAATAAATAAAAAGTAAACAACTGGGCATCCTATTTGCAACTTTTTTGTGGATCGAGATTTGGATCTTGGTCATCTTTATCTAAAATGGTTAATAAAAGAGTGAGGTACACTAGTTTAGTAAGAATGTCACAATGCTCACCGATACAGAAATGAAGGTTGGTAAAAATCATAAAAACAACTAATGGAACTCTTAATTTAAGTAAATTAATTTATTATAAATAAAATTATTTATTACATACTTACAGTAGCGAGATTTCTAAAATCGACCTATAGAGGCAATAACACAAACAATATTATAATCTCATTTTCAATTAGTTAGAGCAACAACTTTTCTTTTTTATCTGACTACTGGCATCTATGGGGGTTTATAGGGATGTCCCCACTACGTGTGAACCCTTATTCAACATTGTTAACTAATCGGCCGTCCCCATACCCTGTCTGGTATGAGGACCAAAAATATCATCCCTCAATACTCCATCCGGTATGAGGGTGAAACAGGTCGTCTACATACTCTGTCTGGTATGAGCTCTAAAATACCAATCCTAGATACCCTATCCGATATGAGGTAACGTTCATGGTAGGGTTTCCTATGTACTCGGTCCGTCCACCATCTCCCAGGATATTCAGTAAGGCTACCATTAGTTCATTCACTTAATCAAGTAATTTTCTGCTTATATTTAATTTCTAGTTTCACAATTTAACTGTAAATCACGAAGACAAGCAATACATGCATCAAGAAAACACAACTGACTCATCTTAGCAACTCCAGTGTATTATTATGCATTTAAAACTATAAAATCAATCAATCAGTTAAAATATGACAAACAATAATAAATAACCGGTTCTAACTCCATTAGTAACCTGTAATTAATTATCAAAGTTTTTTAAATTACGCAAAATATCGTATTATTTATAATTAAACTTAAATTCTATAACAGGAAATAAGGTGAGAGATTCTTACACAAATCGGTGTCCGAAATACTAAACTTCCAGCTGCGTCTACTGGTGGTCCTCGAGTTCTTTAAATTTTTCTTCGAAGATTAAAACACGCTTCAAGTACCTAAAAATACTACAAAAAATCCAAAATCAGTGTTAAAAATCTTTTTCGGCCAATTTTAGAATTTCGGCACGATGATACCGCCGTGTTCTGGAGATTGCACTGCTTTCCGCTGTGGCTGTTTACCTCGGACTAGTCGTTTTCAGCCAGTTTTGGCTGATTTTAGCCGGTTTTAAACTCATCTATGCGAGAAACATGTTAAGGGGCCTCGGGTTGGCCGAAAAAAAGTCGTAAATAAAAACTTACCGGTAGTAAGATCTTTTGGTGCAGCAGCTCTGCCAGCTCACTTCGCGATTGAGTATTTTTCTTCGGTCAACTGTAGAAAATAGAATGATGATACATGGTGGAAAAATGCACAAACAGGATCGGAAAGGGCTCATC